ACTGCGGGGACCCCACCCCCACGGTTGGCGCCCAGCCCCTCTCCCCTCGGGCCCCACAGCTCACCCCCGGGACGCAGCTGCGCGGGACGCACGGGCGGGACAGTTAACGTCCGCTCGGGAGGAGAGCCGCGCCGAGCCCCGCGGCCGCCGAGCCGACCTCAGCGTCGCAGCCCCAGGCGCTCCCGGTGCCACAGGTCAGAAGCCCGGATGGCAGTGGGCCAGACTGCGCCTGCGCGCTGATCCCGCGCCCCGGGACTACGACTCCCAGAAGGCGGCGGGACTGGGGCGGGGCCGAGAGACGCGAACAGCCAATCAGAATAATAGCGCTCGTCGGCGTCGCAAGTTGTGCCCATACCCCTTTCGATGCCGTGGAAACGGGTAAACAGCGGAGGCAAAAAAACGTACTTGCCCCTGACAAGCAGAGACAGGAGACTAAGAGGGAGAGACTGAGACATAATCGGGGAGAGGCAGAAACAAGAGGGATGGAGACGAGGCGAGATGTGCATCTCCAAAGAGGAAGGGAGAGTTGGACCAGAGATGCGACAGACAGGAAAGGACAGAGCCTTCGAGGTGGGATGAGAAGAGAGGCCTAGGCACACAGAGGAAGACAGACAAAAAGGGAATCGACTGCGACCCAGAGATCAAAAGAGAAAGACTTCAAAGACCAGGAGACACATGCTCTGCGATAATAAGACAATAAAGACAGACACAAAGAGGGACAGAGGCAAAGCCCCAGAGATGGGCAGAGCCACAAAACAGGGCGTGTGGGAAACTCAGGACGAGGAAGAGAGTGTGTGCGAACAAATTCTCTACACTAGGTCCTCAGTTTCCCACAGGAGATTCTTCGACCAACCGAAAAGAGTTTCAGAGCTTTCCGTTAGACATGCTAAATCTGTGATCTATTTTGAGTTCATGTTATTAGGAGTGAGATGAAGGCAAGATCTCTTTATCTAAGAGAATGGCTCTCAACCTGTGGGTCGCAACCCCTTTGGGGGTCGAATGACCCTTTCACAGG